TTACCAACAGTGTTGTAAGATTGTTTAAATGTTTCCTCTGTTCTTCTTCATAGATTTGTGGGAAAATTTTAAAAACTAAAACTGTATAGGGTTCAGGTAACGGAAATTATCTTCTCATTTAACTCAGCAATGTTTTGCATTCTGTATCAAATGAAACCATGTCTCCATTTATCTTTAAAATATCAGTTACACTTACATTGCTTATACGGGGAATTTGTGAGCAGAACAATAAATTTTGCATTTTCTTCAGTATTTGCCAACCATGTACTTACAAGAATCACTGATTTTTGGTGAGGATTTCAACAAATAGCTATGTAAACAACCTATTAAACTGCAAAGTTGCAAGACTAGTCATGGTATTATATCTGGAGGTTTAGCCATTGATAGAGGTAGAGGTCAAGGTTATACAGAGGGTATATCCATGATAGGACTTAGTTCAAGGTTACACAAAGAGAGACAGAATCAAGGTCATATAGTGGGTAAGTCCATGATAGATACAATTAATTGTTTAGATATAATGGTAGGTCCATGATAGATACAATTAATTGTTTAGATATAATGGTAGGTCCATGATAGATACAATTAATTGTTTAGATATAATGGTAGGTCCATGATAGATACAGGTCGAGGTTATATAGAATACATTCTTTGATAGTGGCAGAGGTTAAGGTTATACAAGGTAAATCCATGAAAGTGACAAAGGTCAAGGTTATACGTAATGTAGTTCATGATAAAAGCAGATGGAAAGGATATTACAGAGGGAAGAGTGTGATAAAAATAAGAGGCCATCATAATACAGGGATATTGTAGACTGATATACCCAGTGATAGACAAAAGTCAAAGTGACACATAAGAAGCATTTATAATAACACAAAGATTGGGGTTATACAGAAGGTAATACAAGATGCTTCACAGAGGCTAACGCCATGAGAGAAACGTTGGTCAGGGTTATATAGAGAGATGTCCATGATAGAGTGGTCAAGTTATAGAAGGTCAGGCCATGATAGAGTGGTCAAGTTATAGAAAGTAAGGCCATGATAGAGGTAGAGGTCAAGTTATAGAAAGTCAGGCCATGAAAGAGGTAGAGGTCAAGTTATAGAAAGTCAGGCCATGATAGAGGTAGAGGTCAAGTTATAGAAAGTAAGGCCATGATAGAGGTAGAGGTCAAGGTGATAGAAAGTCAGGCCATGATAGAGGTAGAGGTCAAGGTTATAGAAAGTCAGGCCATGATAGATATAGAGTTCAAGTTATAGAATGTAAGGCCATGATACAGGTAGACGTCAAGGTTATAGGCAGTGGTCAAGGTTAATAAAAGTCAGGTCATGATAGAGGTAGAAGTCAAGTTATAGAAAGTCAGGCCATGATAGAGGTAGAGAACAAGGTTATAGGCAGTGGTCAAGGTTATAGAAAGTAAGGCCATGATAGAGGTAGAGGTCAAGGTTAATAAAAGTAAGGCCATGATAGAGGTAGAGGTCAAGTTATAGAAAGAAATGTCATGATAGAGGTAGAGGTCAAGTTATAGAAAGAAATGTCATGATAGAGGTAGAGGTCAAGGTTATAGAAAGTCAGGCCATGATAGAGGTAGAGGTCAAGGTTAATAAAAGTAAGGCCATGATAGAGATAGAGGTCAAGGCTATAGAAAGTCAGGCCATGATAGAGGAAGAGGTCAAGGTTATAGAAAGTCAGGCCATGATAGAGGTAGAGGTCAAGGTTATAGAAAGTAAGGCCATGATAGAGGTAGAGGTCAAGGTTATGCAGAGGGTTATCGATGAAAAAGGCAAAGGTCAAGGTTTATATAAACAGTAGTCTATGAAAAAGGTAAAAGGTCAAGGTTACTAGTTTCAAGACTAGGATATAGTATGATAGTTGTCAAGGTCACAATATTTAAGTTGTCTTGATAACTGTACAGTAGTTGGCATGGCTACTGTAGAGTTTTTGTCTCAGTAATTATGTACAGTAGTTGTTTGGTACCTACCTGATATATAAGTATGATGCACAAAAGCTAGATCAGCTTGTAATCAGTGATCCTAACTAAGTCAATAGCTAATAGGACTCCCATGTCATGGTGTTTTCAGTTTATAAATGTGGTTATTATCTTCTAATAGGTTGAGCATCTTTTCATCTAAATCTATTCCACGTTATTTACCCTGAGAGAGCATAGCGTCAGCGTAGTCAGAAAATCACATGAGGAATTTGGATGTGTTACATTATCAATTTGGCTCAGTTTTTTTTTAAGTGCAAATTGATTTATCAGAAGCAAATTATCTAATTTTAACATTAAATGAATAGGAACATCCCAAAATAGATATCACATACTAATTTCTGTGATAGAGAGGTTTTTCTTTATCTGAAACAAACTATTGCCAAGAGATAAAAATCCAGGAAACAGAATTTATATATCTGTTGTATCATTATTATGTTAATATTTAAGACACAAGAAAGCTCTTATGAATTATGAATATGGTATTTCAGATATGGTAGGAGGTCATCTAGCTGCACTAAAGGTGTATGTAGCTGTGATGTGGGAGGTCAGATATATGGGAGGTTTGCAGTATGGTACATGTTAGATGTTTATCACTGAAGGACACCATCAGATAATCACATAGACACTGCAGCTGTCATTAAATATAAGTTTTACTATAGATAATTTTCTTTGTTTCAAGATGAAAGTACCCTATCAGATTACATGGTCCAGGAAGAGAGGCACTTCCTGTGACTGTCCATAAGATAAATGTAGTTGAGATCTGTCAGTTTGTATCTTTAACTTTTTGTTTTCAAAATAATATACAAGAATACAAATCTACGTTTAATTTTACATTAGGAATGGGTCTTTCATGTTGACATTATTTTGGTTATTTATGAATATCATTCTATAACTATTAATGGTAATTACGTTTTGGAAACTAGCAAAATTTATTGAATTGTATTTTGTTAAAATGTTTTTGCATCTTCATGTTTTCAACATGGCTATAATGATTATGGTATAGGAAATATGTCTGTTTATGTGATGAATATACTAATGCAGGACTGACAATGACAGACTACATTACCATACAACTCTCTGTGTACTACCCATTGTCACTTAGACGTCAGTCACATTTGTCAAAGTACATCGCTTTCCTACTGCATGATGAAATTACTTGATGATTGGATTTTGTACATCAGTGCAAGGGTATGCATATGAATTAGGATGACTTTTTATTTCTTTTTTCTTCAATGAATATAAATTGGAATTGGTTAATTTGCTCAATTAAAATATTTGTAATATTTAGTTTTTATTCAGTAATTTACATAATTTGTTTTATTGACTGATTTTTGATATCAGGTTTTGAAATCCTGTTGTAAGTGTTAGAGTTCTTACATAACATTGCTGTGAAAGTATACGACCATTATAACCACCGAGAACATTTGGTCTTATCTGTATAGCGAAGTTCCAAATCTCCAATATATGCAAGATAAAAGTACTCTTCAAAAACATGTGTAAATTCCCACACAAATAAAACTGTTTTTATTGGGTAATACAGTAACGAAGCATTCTCCACACCCACCTCGTGATAACGTGATTAGATGGAACTTCACCACGCAGACATCAACTATTTTTAACTTCACTAAAAAAGTTAGCGTTAAACCAGAGGAGTGATGTGTATAGATCATCAAATGTGTGTACTGTCCTGAAACCTTACACATCTCACTAGATTGAATTTCGGTTCTGATCCTTTTCCCTATCTTTTTTTCTAGTTGAAAACTCGCCAACTGCTATTCCTCCTTGATACGCATGCAAACTAAAATTTTTACAACTTCCTTACAGAGATAGCATTTGTTTCTTTCAGCAGAGAACATGCCACACCAAAAAGGAGTGTTTTTTTCATATTTCTACTGGCTAAATGTTTACTTGAAGGGGTCTCCAGTTCACAATATCCCCCTATGTTACAGTCTCCTGCAGCTTGTTGTTCTTTCCAGGGGTGATTAGCTGATACTTTATGTATTAATTACAATGTTCCCTGATGGCGCAGTCATTCCTAGGATTGTTTCCAGGATTTTTCATTATGTTTTTTGTTTTGTTTTGTCTTAATAGGGTTTAATTTTTCTGTTGTGTTAACAGTTTTACATAAGTTTCCCCTATGAAAGAATTCATTACTAATAAATCTCAGAGGTTTGAACGTTGAATTAGAATAATCCTTAATAGAATGAAACATGTAAAGTATTCCAAGAAGCAATAAAACTATTGACAGGAATGAAAATATTTAGGTTGTATAGGAAATGGATACTGTTATACCAACCATTAGTAAGATATATCCTAGCCCCATAACCTTGCCCTTCTCAGATAATCATCATCTGCCAGTCTGACCCAGGAGGTCTGCCTACTATATAAAGTCAGCTTGATGGCAGTTACTTATAGGTCTCAGTAAAACTCTTTATCTCATGTTTTATCACATACACAAGTTTATAAAGGAAGTTGCAAGAAACTTATCCATACTCTGAAAGTTATATATTCAAGTAGATACACAGCTCATATAGATATATTACAGTGCTGGGCAATGTAGTTGTTTTGAACTTTGTCTTAGAAAACTCATTTATAACAATATATCCTTCAATGTTGGTAGGATTCTGATTTCTGGTTTCTGTAGAATCTGGTTGTTTTCTGAATTCTTAAGGCAATGGTGCATTAGATAGCAAAGTCTATAGTTACAACTGTGTCTAAACATTATCCGTGGCAATCAGCTGTTGTCTCAACGAAACACCAGACCCCTGGGGTTGGATCTAGGGAGGGAAATTTCTAAACATCAAGCAGAAGATCTGGAAGAGATTTCTTACCATATCTGCCCGTAAACAGTCACTCCATTATCATGTGATGTCTGCAGGCCTGAACACTCAGTACTCCAGGCAGATGGGGAGTAGAGTTACTCAAAATGTACAGAATATCCTCATGTTATGCAAATTTTATGGACACTTTGAGACTTAAAAGTTAAAACTAAATATTACATGTATACAAGATAAGTTACATGTTAATGGACGCTAATTCAAGACGTTAAAGCAAGATTACAACAAATGAAGAAAATGAAAACTGACACTTAATGTGTATACATTGTCATGGGGATACTCTGCTGTCCAAGGAAGACTAGAATCTGTTTTTCTTTATAAAAACTCAAATTTTGAAAAGAATCCAGAAATATGGTGACAATTTGATAATTAACAGAACACTTGAGGAGGTGAAATAATACTTGACATTGTAGACACCTGGAGTTAACAGCCTGTGTGATATACACACATATATATATACAGCCCCTACATATCTGTGGGAGAGAGGAGGAGTACTGTTTCATTCATGTGCTGTGCTTGGTCGGACAGTGTGTAATAAACCCCTGTAGGTGATGTGTATGATACTCCACACTAAAGGTACAATAACCCTCCGGTGACAGACCTGGAAGCTGTAGGGAATATCTGGTAGTCAATGTTAACAAAATTATCATTGTTGGTTTATTGAAGGTGTTAATCAATGCTTCATCACATAGTGCTGTCTATAGTGTTGGGTTCTAGAACAAGATATGTGGATCAACAGTACCTGCAGGATATACATACTGCAACAACCTATGGGATATTTTCCTCCACTGGTCATTGGTGTGTCCAGTTAACTGACTAACACTTACATACTGGAATCTTAAAGTTTAAACTACAGGTAAGTTCTTTTTATAAAATATGTTTGATGTTTCTCAGCACATCTCTTACAGATGGTTCTTTAGAGTCTATGAGTAAGAAACAGTAGGAGTGGAGTAGACAATGAAGGGATGGTACCAATCATATCTGTTACTATGTGGATATATATAACCCTTTGCTCTTATACTTCTCTGTGAATTTAGTCTGTTAGGGTTTTAAGTCACCTTTTTTTTTAATAAGTGTGATCACCTCTTTTCTGTTGTCGTCCAACATATATTTCTGTCCATAAACAGTAAACATAATCTAATTCTATCTAAAAGCTTGTTGTTGAACTGAAATATCATGTTTACAGGATCCTTTTCATTATGCTAAAAAGTTAACCCAAATTGTGAATTATCGGGTCCCCAGCCTCAGGACCAAGATATTGTAACTTATTAGAACCAAATAAATAGGTTTGTGATTTTAAATTCTTTATCAAAATAATGAATTTGGGGAGGTTAGATTTATACTTTTGGGATTCATTTTGAAAATGATTCCAATTTGGTCAGAGTTACAAGGACAGGATAGCAGTTAATTTGATATCATACATATACAATATGACTCTGAATGACTTCCACGTGATGGAGGAGCAACAGAAAGCAGAGTAAAAGTGGCTGAATTTCCAAATATCTAAGACCCCGATGTATGGTGACTGAAATACAACTCACTATGTGGCCTATTTCGTTAATAGACTAGCAACTTGAAATTGTTTAGACAGAGATTAGAATTGTAAGCATTGAGTATTTTTTTTTTTTTAATTTTCACACTTTCTATCCCCATATCCCTAAAGGGCAAAATAGGCAATATTTGACAGTTTTCTTCTTCTCGTCAATGGATTAATGTTCATTGAATCAAATATTCCGTCTTTATTTCTTCATTTTTTTTGTCGCAGTGCTTATAGGTCTCAACTAAAGAATATTATAAGATATGACTCTGATCAATTTCTGTTTTTGTTGTAAATTTTACATGTGATTTCAAGTTGTTTAGTTAATGACTTTGTTTATTTGATATCTACATCCTATGCCACAACAACATGACAGTCTCTATTGGGCTCCTCTGACCTTGAAAACCATTTGTCCACATGTATCTGATATTCTGTAGTGACACAAAAAATGTGACAACATAAAAACTAATTCAATGAACTAGAGATAATTGACTTTGTCATGAAATTCTCACTCTGGTCACTCTTTGTTCCCTGAAGGTGAAATCGTCAGGAACTCATGAAAATTTAATTCATCAAAACTATCATCATTGAGAAGCTGTTTTTCCACCCATATTGATGGTTGGTACTAAAATGACTGGCAGCCCTACTACATTTGTTGTCAATCTGTAACATTGTCATATCATCACCTTTCAGTTGGTAAAAGCTTTTTTTTTTGTCACCTAGAAAGCTATGTGGAAATAGTAGAGTTGGAAAAGTTGTGCTCTACCTTGTAATATACCCAGCATGTATATCTGATACAGGTACTAGATATATGTTTAAACCAAAAAGTCAGAAAGCTATTTAAGTTGAGTGGTATTATGCACATTGAATGAAGAAACACAGGATCTCTCTTCCATATGAGTGACAAATAATTAAAAAAATTAGTTCAATGATGTTGAAATATTTCCTTATCATCCATTTACACATTCTATCAGTGTCAGCAATGAGGTTGACTTGTTAATATATTAAGATGGAGTTTTTATTTAAATGACAGATCATTGTTTATCACTGAGGCAGTAGTGTATTAGACTTTTATTTGGTGTATTATGTAAGTTTGATGGGTTGATTGTTACTGACAGAACTGTCAGTCACTGACAGATTGCTGCAGATTCTGTATGAATCATTTATATAGAGTTTTAACATTAGGAGTCACACGGCTCACATTACATGTCACAGATGGGTTCTCTCATGGTTTCTATATTTGTAGCATTATATAGATGATTCTGTCATTTTTCCATAAAAACATTATGAGATTTTCAAATCAAAGAATATTTGAAGTGAGATTAAAGTATGAATTAGCATTATTTTTTATACGTGTATAAGTGTCAAGACATGCCAATAAATTAAGACACTTAAATCAGACACAACACTTGATGTTAATAAGATGATCTATTGTGTGGTTTAAGTGTAATGTAAGATTTTATAATGCTGTAAGTGGCTGGCGTCCAGTCAACACCCTTTCCGCCTGTGTTATCTTACATACCATGAACATTTTTTATATGTCAGATAACATCAATATAAATGTTTACATTTTTTTCCTTCAGAATTACTTGTATAATAGAAAGCTTGTCTTAAAGGTCAACTCTAAATAACAAACACCTGTCTATAAAGATCACTTGTTTCAGCTTTCTATGTAATGCAATTCATCGTAATTGGATCTCTATGAAACTGCCCTATATGTAAAGGTCATTTTTCAGACATATTGGATTGTGTCAAAAAAAGGTGAATGTGTTTGTTTGCAATATAAGTACTGATCACTGTTACATGATAAAGACAAGTGGGAAATTTGAATGACTGCAGCTATTTAGAAATATCTACAAAACTAAACAGTTTTATGTTTAAATTGCCAGGAGTCTGTACTTTGTCTTTCAACATTTCTTGTTATTATTGTTTTTAGAAAAGAGTTTGATGTATCATTCTCAATTTAATGTGTATGTTCCTCATGGTCCCATAGTTGTTCATAGTTTGTTTTGACACTAACTGATAACACAAGATTGGCGACAACAGCCATGTTGTTTTGTTTCTGAAGAAACGCTTGATCATTCTCAAGCTTCATATGAATATTTCCGTTGGTCCTTAGTTTTGCTTGGTTTATTTTAGAATGTATGCTGAATGAGTGCTTACAAAAATTCACATTTTATAAGCATAAACGATCGTGATTCACAATATTGAACGTACGACAATTGTTTTTAAACTACAGCTGTCAGGTTGTGTAGAAATGAAATTGATATACATTATTCATTGAATTCAATCATGAAATGATATTGTACAGTAATACATCATGTGAAATTTTGTTTAAATTTTTAAAAAATCAATCAATTGTACTGTTTTGAATATATCTACTTAATCTGATTATCACAGCATTAATTACTGAAGAGACAAATATCACTTACCTGTATCTATCTATTGATAGGTAAGAATATACCTTACCTGAATATATCTATTGATAGGTAAGAATATACCTTACCTGTATCTATCTATTGATAGGTAAGAATATACCTTACCTGTATCTATCTATTGATAGGTGGGAATATACCTTACCTGTATCTATCTATTGATAAGTAGGAATATACCTTACCTGTATCTATCTATTGATAAGTAGGATTATACCTTACCTGTATCTATCTATTGATAAGTGGGAATATACCTTACCTGTATCTATCTATTGATCGGTGGGAATATACCTTACCTGTCTATTGATAGGTAGGGATATTCCTTACCTGTATCTATCTATTGATAAGTAGGAATATCACTTACCTGTATTGATCTATTGATAGGTAAGAATATACCTTCACACTGGATTAACTTTTATCATAAGATGAAGCTACCTAGATCACCATTAGCCTGATATAAATTATAAAAGAACAGTATAGAGCTATCCGAAGGTGAAGTTACCAAGATCAAAATTAGAATTACATTTAGACTAGTTAAAATTATAGAAATATATAGGTATAGTCACAATCAGACTGATGCTACAGGAGTGGTATGGGCGAAAGGTGAAGTTAAGCGTAGGAACAGTAAAGGACTTTTAAGGTGAATTAACCTAGATCAGGATTATATGGAGTAAGGTGAAGGAGTGTGTAGGACTACTGTGAGGCCATGCTGCCTTTAGGAATCACAAGTAAACTCATATTAGTTGGAGGAGTGGTCATTGGCTCATCCTTTCACACAAGGTTTTACCTCGACTACAATGGTCAAATGGTCATCTCCAGCTGAGAGAACAACACAGTTGTTGTTATAAATTCCTTAAGATTACTGATTTGTGAAAGGTAAATAAAAGACTTCATCCTACTTGATTGAAAACAGAGCCTGAAGATAAAGTGTAAACCTCACTCAACTTGGAGAATATTATGTTTTGGGAAGGATATGTGTGTATTGTTCAGAGAAGCAGAAATGTTGTTAATTGGCAAGTATCTCTCTCATGAAAAACAGTTTAAAGATACAGAATTCTGGAATGTACTTCACTTCCTGTTAAATACTCCATTTTAATTCAACCTTAACTAACCTCATCTGGTCTTTAAAACAGTTCAAGGCAAGTAGGATTGGTAGTAATGAAACCTATATATTTGTATCCTCATTAAAATGTCTCATATATGTGGAATTTTGAGTTTGTTTGTGTATTGCTATGTGTTATAAAAATGTTAGATACACAACACAACGTACATTTTAGCCAAGTAAATGTAGACGATGAACAATTAAAGAACATTCCAAAGATTTGTACCTAAAAGGGAAGACCTCACTGAAAAGATAGATATGTTGGGAAAACTGTTAAACAAAACTCGATCAATTCCCATAATGACTGTAGTAGTTCAAAACCAGTCAGTGTAAGTGTTACAGACTTTTATTGTACAACAGAACTAAAGCTGCGCTGCAGATTCTAGAAAGACTTTTTCTGTACAGCATTGGACTGGAATGTGAGGAGTCATTGGTTCGATCACCAGTGCAAGCATACAGCTCATCTCAGTTCTGTTACCATATTTAAGTTCCAAGTTAAACCTTGTACTGTTATCATATATCTGTCTAGTAAAATTTACACGTTAGCTATTGAACCAATCTATATTGCAGTTCTCCAGCTTGTAAAAATTAAAGAAAAGGGAAATTTTCATTTTCTTGTTACGTTTCATGACTGCCCTCAACCCTCCCTCTTTCCATACTAAATTCACACAGTTTATGTTTTATTAGCCTCCTGGGCTTATTGGAGGAATGGATGGGGGGTGGGATGGGGGGGGGGGGGTAAATATGTCAGCAGTGTTGCCTACTTGACTGAATGTTGAATTGTG